CGCTCCACCCGCACGAAAACCCCCCCCCCCCCCCCCCCAATCCAGGATGCCTGGCTTTGTTGTTGCGCGCAGGTTTCCGAAGCCGCACCCTGGTAAGTCTCCTCCCCTTGCCTCTTGCTCAGCTCCCTCCTCTGCCCCGGTCGGTGTAACCCAGACCCGCCGGCTCCCGGATCAAGTGCGCTGCGGGAGGGGGGAGGGACCTGGGCGGCTGCTCGCGACAGCACACAAAAGGCGGCTCTCGGCAGCGCTGGCGAGAGACAGCGCCAGTAAACAAACGGTTGGTCTCGATTTACAGCCTCTTTGGTCCCCAACAGAGTAGGGAGCAGCCGCTCTTCTGGCCCAGGAAGGCAAAAAAGGAATGATGCAGTGCAGGGACAGGAGCCGAGACCATTTCTGCGTCCCCTGACCCTGGCAGGACGGCTCTAGCGGGTGATCTGGTAAACAGACCATCAGGATCCGACAGACCTCTCGTGGGCTAAGATCCAGTGTGGGGTGTCCAAATCCCAAGAGCTCCGGGCTTGGGCCTGCAGGTAGGATGCCTGCCAATGGATTTTGGGAGCATCTGAAGTCCCAGGGTGAGAGCCTGGGTCTGAGGATGCTCCTGGGTTGTAGATATGTGGTGTTTAGAAGGATGGAGTTCTGCTTGCACCAGCAATGGCTTTTAGATTGATTGAGTTCTGCTCAATAGATACGATTTGGAACCGATTTTGCTAATTTGACCTGGAACACAAAATATATTATTAAAAAAAATAAAAAATCCAACCTCCAGAGGTGTCAGGACCCTGTTCCTGCCTTATTTGTTGCTTTGCATTTTTTACCCGAGGATGGTTGTGGTTTCTCCTGTGCACCTGACTGGAACACAATGGCTCTACCGGCTGATTCAAGATGGGGATAGCAGCTAGCTAGCCCTCATGCTGTGTAATCCATTCCAACCGAGCAAATAGTGCCTTGACATGAATTTTACTAGTGGTATGTTATTCTCAACCTGGTTTATTCTATTTTTTATTTTGCACAGTCCCTCTTCAACCAATTGTTATTTTAAATTTGTTTTGCAGGCTTTTACAAGGGCTTATGATGTGCCCTTATTTAACAAACAAAAACAGTCACTGTGGTACTGCATCACCAATACATGATTGGGGATATCATTTTTTGACTGTTTTTCCATGGGCTTTCACTTACATACATGCACTCCATGAAAAGAGACATTATTTTTTATATTAGCATCTTGTTTTAAGCTCAATCCAAAGTTATAAATGATTAACTACTACTTTGCTATGCAGATTCCAGCATCAAATCATCAAGTGCACACTTTTTTCTTTTTTTTTTTAAAAAAGATCCCATAAATAAAGGAGGAACAAAAATTAGTGGCTGTTCCTCCTGCCCTCACTCAACTGTACTCCAGTCCTCCTTTCTCTCTCTACCTCCGTTAAAGGTGAAAATACTAAATGCAGACCAATAAGGAATCTTTCTTTAACTAAATTTGTGTGGTGGCATTTGCCATATAATGATTCATAGGCAGTATGGTTATGAGCATAGTGAGGATCTAGTCACAGCTGTGGTTCTCTGGATAACTGGATTTAGTGAAAGGGAAAATGAAACCATCCCCATGAAACCCAAGCAGAGGTGCAAGTGCTCCAGTAGCCACCCACACTTCTGTTTGGAGGGGGATGCTCTGCATAGTGACAAGTTAAATTTCTCTTAACCTGTCCTTCACATCAAATATCCACCTCAAAGAGAACCATGCATGAAGTCTGCACATCTGGTTTCCTACATGCTGGCTTGCCCTGGTTTTTCTGCTTATTTAGTGGCAAACAGTTGTGGAGATGGGGACAGTATTTACCCTTGGAAATTTCTCTAGCCATCTTTCCTATTTTTATTTGAAATACAGTATTTTTGTTTATTTTTACACAGTGCCTGGAGTATAGAAGTATAGACTATAATAATGACTTTTATTAAAAGATGTGTGGGGAAGAAGATTACTACTAAATCCAGACGGTCCCTTTTGTTTCCTTATGGAGTTCTGACACCTTCCTTAAGGAAAGCTCCCTCAAAACCTTTATGGCCCCAAATTTTAATCAATACCTTTAATAATTCTCTCTTTACTCGGAGAATAAAAACGGCACTTAAAAGACTATAAATAGTAATCATCTTCACATAGCTGAAATGAAGTCATCCCTGGGGTAAAGCATGGCACTATAATGGTGTATGAAACATGTAAAAACACTTCCAGCTTTTACAGACAAAGTTGAGCTAAGCATGGCAGCCAGAAGGTATCTGAGTGTCTTCTGATGAGCTATCATCCTTTTAAATGTTACTTTGTCCCTTTAGTTTGTTTAGTTCTTCAGAAAAAGCAATTGTCCCATTACCGATGGTTAACGTTATCATATTTTCAGAATAAAACTGGGAAGGTTGGGGGTAAGTTTGAAGTAGCAAAATACTCCCAACAATTGTATGCTCTAGCAGGGTTGCTCTTTAGGGGTGGCTGTGATGCCCCCTGATGGCTGCAGGGTACCCTCCCTTTGCTTCCACCTGCCACACCTTGATATTCTTAATAGACATAAAAAGGGGGGCTGTCATGGGTCTTAGAGTGAGCCTTGATCTATCTTCCTGCCAATGGATTCCTCTCTCAGACCTGCTGATCCCAAGCAATCCTTCCCATTAGGTGGGTGAGCCTTTGTGGCCCTCACATGCACCAGGGCACCTGTTGCTTATGGGCTATTCACAGTCTCTGGCCACTCCTACAGCTGTGCCTACACCTGACAGATTTTGCCAGTCTCCTTTCATGTTTCACTGAGCCTCTATGCCCTAGTCAGTCTCTGCCTCTCTCTGGCTATAGGCCTTTGGCCATCAGCTCTGCACCTCTTGCACTGTATTGCTGCTCACGCTCTGCCCTCAGCAGACTCAAGCTTTAGCGGCCTCAGGCACAGTGGGACTTATATCCCTGCTAGTCCCAACCCAGACTGCCAATTAAAACTCAAGCAAAAAAACTCCAAAAACCAAAAAAACCCAAAACAATAATATAGGCACTCTAGCTCTAACACAAACTATAAGCTTGCTTTGCTGCCTCCTAAACTCTTTCTTTCCAGGGGTCAGTCCTCTGTCAAGCCTCAGAACCTTACTCACGGTACTCAAGCTTGGCAGAGCCCCAGTCAGTCATCCAGCACCTGTCCATTCCGGAGCTAGATTGACCAACCTGGATCAGGATGTGGGTTTATATACCTCCCAGGCCCTGCCCCTTTCCAGTCAGACGACTTCTTGGGTTGGCTGCAGGTGTTTCCCATTTTAGCTTATTAGCTTAACTCCAGGATAGTTTACTGCTGCTGGTAACTGATGTAATAGCAGCTTATCTCCCACGCAGGGCTCTAACCTACTGTACTGCTGCAGAGCAGCTAGCTCTGCAATAGGTACTCATAGCAGATAAATCCCCAGGCACCTGCTCTCTGGCAGCTCATAATGAGCAGCCTTCCCCTCCTGAGGCTCTCCCTACTGCTCTTTCCATCTTAAAGTAACAGGAGCCCTAGGCTCCCTCTTATATATACTGTACCTTAGTAAAAAAATACTTCTCAGTATCACTGCTGTCCACTTCTGACTAAGCAGTAATGTTCATCTTTATCAGTGTGCATTTTTTTCTGGTAATATAAGCCAAGATCCTCAAAAATACTATGTGCTTGATTCTTATTTAAATCTCATCAATTTCTAATAATCTAGGTCAGATGTGGGCAAAATATGGCCTGCGGGCTGAATTCAGGCCACCAAGGGATTTTATCTGGCCCATGGCAGGTCCCTCAGCCCCACCCAACCCAGGTGGCATGGGCTGTGGCGCATGCAGCCGGTCCCACTACCCACAGGTTTGCAGCAGGGCTGTAGCAGCACAGCAGCCAGACTCACTTCCCAGCAGCCCCAGTGGCAGCGGCTCTTTCTGCCTGCTGCTGCTGCTGGACCTAGCCCTGCTGCCCTATACTCACTGAACTTTTCTCTTCACTTCAGCCAATTTTCGGTATACTTAAATACTCAATTCCACTGAACTACTTGATCCCAAAATGCAAA